TTTATGCAGGACCTAAGGGCATCTCTAATAGAAGTAACTCATTTGAGTTGTTTCATGTATTGAAAAATGAAAAAAGTGGTCCCGAGTGTGCCATGTCAGTATTAAGCAACTCAAACACAAATTTACTCTAATAGTAAGAAACTTTAAGAATTTTAACTTTTAAAATTTTTTTTCTAATCATTTATGAACTAATTTTAAATTTTTATTAAAAAGGATAATTGCACTACAATGAAAGAAAATAAATTACGAAAAAAAATATATAATAAGTAGATATTAAAAATAAAATAAAATAATAATAAATATATAGACATTATACAAAATTAATTTTCATCATTATTATCTTTGAAACGTTCCCAAATATGTTCAATAAGATTTGTTTGAAATCTGGTAAGGAACGGTTGCTTGAGAAAGCAACTCTCTCTCTTCTTCAAGCAACTCATGTTGCCACGTCAGAGTCCTCCAATAATAAAAAACCGGGACTTGAATTGCTTCATGAGACAAACAACACCCATCGGAGTTACTCTAAAAAGCTACAGTTCTCCATAATTTCGTCCCCATATAAATGTAGCCTTTGCAGCACGGCACTGTTTGACTTTGTGAAATATCATTACTGCCTTCCTATCAACCCAAACTAGCTATTGATGAACACCTTTTCTTATATCTCCAGTTTGAAAAATTTTAAAAAATTAAGAAATGTAATTAATATTTGTATTTATATTAAAAATTAACCTCTAATATAATTGATACATCAATTATAATAATGATGTAAAATATTTAAGAATTAGATAAAGTTAAAGTCATAATTGAAAAATAGTAATTGATATTGTCTTAATTTTTTTTAAATAGTTAAAATTGAAGGCAGTGTTTTCCACATATATCCATTTTGAAAACAATTTTGTTTGAAACTAATTTGACACTAAACGCGAGTACTCATTGATCTGAAAACCCCATTTAACAACAATTCAAACCATGATTATCCATGATAACATTGATAAGAGAGTTTTTTTTTTGTTATTGGACCCAACTCTTTTCGGGGGAAAAAGGACAAATATTAATAATATACTTATTATAGTAATTTTTAAAGCATATAATTTTAATGTGATTTTCGATAAATCCAAAGAAATAAATAAATGTATTGTAGTTGTAGGTGTTCCAATCTTCCAGAATAGGCAAATCATACCTGATCCACGTACCAGTACCACTCATTGATTATGAATGACAAAGTTAGGTTAGTGTATTTAATTTATTCCTTGGGGTTTGCACTAAGTTTTAATGAAGTATGTAATCCTCAGGCAGCTTCATTAATGCGTAGTATAAATTTGTACCTGGGGTAGTTGAAGCATTACTAGATTCTCTACCAATCCTACCTAGCTTGTTCAATTTCAGCATCAAAGCCTATTAATATTATTTTTAAATTATATCCAACCCAGTACATCCTATTTTTGAATTACATAGATAACTCAACAGTTCAACATTAATATCCCTTAATTAAGTGTGTAGTAGGAGGAAAGAAATATATGAAAAATAAAATAAAGGAAAATTAAAAGTAAATAAAAATAAATAATAAATAAAATAAAAATTTAATTATTTGATTACAGAAAATTATATGAGAAATAAAATATATATAAAAAAAGAAAAGAAAAGTAAATAAATAAGAAAATAAAGTTTATCACCTTTTAATTTTTCATCTTATTTCTGTTCACCAAAACAATTTTACTTATTTTTATTCTTTTATTTTCTTCATCTTATTTCCATCTTATTTCTTACTTGTTTCTTCTTAACTAAACAATGCATAAGGACAGAAGTAAATTAAAACATTGAGCTGATGTTTTTTTTTTTTTTTTTTTAAAGCGATACATTACATTTAAATAAAATGAAAAATAAAGGACGTACATTTTTTTTTACTTTTACTAAAATTAGAAGAGTATAATACCAAAAGGTACATATTTCATGATTTTGTCTCTAGTGCACCTAATCCGCAATACAATACTTTTTTTAATAAAAAAAAAGGTGCATATAATAAGAATTAAAACCCCTCCTCCACAACAACTTCGTGATATATATAACTGATGCAAATCTGTCTTTGGTAACTATTTACTGAAATGTGCTGATTCAAAACAAGATTAAGCTTCTTTATTCTGAAGGAATTATATCCTTTATCGTGTGGAATTAGAACCTCTTTAGTTAAAGTGAAAAAGAGCTTCCATTAGCATTAGTCCATTATTTGATGGGCTTGATTTCTTTATTAAAGTGCATTGGAATTTGCTTGGTGTAGTAAGTATTAACGGTCGATTTGAAAGTAAAAGTTCAGATTATTATTGGTTTCAAATTGGCACTAATTCAGCATCGTATTCTTCTTCCCTTTAATCAAACACCCGAGTGACTTTCTGTCATGCACCGATTATCCACTTTGTGAAGTAAAATTTTTAATCATGGTACCGTTGTGCTTTCGCTTTCATCGTTGTCCATGCACACATTGCATTGAATTAGTGACCACAGCTCAAAGTTCAAACTACCACACAGCTAGTCAAAATATTAATTGGAGTGTCACGCTCAAAACATAAGCTTAATTTAATTATATACACTGATTGCAAGGAAAAGCTTACGTTTGTTTAGAATGATCATATCACATTTTGCTTTTCTTAATATACATATACGTAGATAGATGGATAGAGAAAATATGCTAATGGTTCTTTTAAAAATGTTAGTATAGTACATTATCGGAGAAACAATAAGCCACAAATGAAACCAAATTATGAGAAGACCTGCTACCAGCATCGATAAAGATTCCTTGGATATTTAGAAAGTATATGCAACTAGAGATAAACAAAGGCCACATTTATTGCAATAATTAGCATATAAGAAGTTCAGTCAAATGCCAAAACAAAGTTAGGCAGGCCCCACAAAATTTAAAAAATTAATGAAAAGGTTGCTACCTTTGCTATAAGTTTATGTATGTCTCAAAACAAAAAATAAAAGGCTTCCACCTTTGGGAGCTATGAAATTATTATAGCCGCAGTTTGCTTTCACTTGAAGTTCATTTTTCACATTGGGTCTTTTCTGGGGACATAGGGGTCCTGGCCCTTAATTTTAGTGGACATTTCGTGTACATGTAGTTGAATACTTGTATCGTTACAAGATACCATGATGATACAGATCAGATGTTGACGTTTGATGAAGTACACCAAACACATGCCAATGCAAGCAAGGAATTCAATTATTCCACAATTTTCGGTATGACATGTAGTACCACTATATTGTGAATTCTTTTAATCATAATAAGAGAAAATAGTGTCTTACCAACTCATGCAATGCTAGGAGTTCAATAATTCCACAATTTTCGGTAAGCCACATTGTATTATCAATCATTAAAACGATGGAAAATAGTATCTTAACTAGTGATGTAGTGCGTGTGTACGTTAAGGCATGGTTTGAAATGTTTGAAGCTCCATTGCAACCGAAGCCAGAGGTAGGTTCCATTGGTGAGGTGCAGTGTGTAATGATGTAGGAGGGAGATAATCAAGTGCTATGTTTTAGCATCATTTCTAGCATCATCGACATTACGTTATGTGTGCATATTGGATCTTGCTTTCAAGTTTCCTTTCTAATATCGTAAAGAATAATTTACCAAACACTTTCCAAATCGGTTATGCATGGCATGTTCCGGGACCTATCACTGTATTCTTCACAATATTACAGCATGTTTGTCTAATAAACATTTTGAACTTGTTACTAAAATTTACATTGTGCGGTATCAAGTAAATATAATTAGTTTAAATTACACTCTCAGCTCAAAAAGAATAAATTATAGTCACACTCCTTTTGACATTTCGTGAGACTAAATAAATATCTCTTATTTTTTTTACTTTTATAATAATTCTCTTAATTGTTTGAAAATATTATACGTACTAATAGTTTTAAACATTAAATATACCGTTTTAATTATTTTAAAAAAATATTACTCTATGATCCTGTTAAAGAAGATTGTAAACATTAAAAAAGTAGGGGTGTCAAGTGCAATTTCATGAAATCTCATAAAGGGTTAGTATAATTTATTTATATATTTACTATATTCTATTTGTAAATAAGTAATATGATAAGATAAAATTGATGAATAGTTATGTTATTTAAATATATAATTAGAGTTTGATTCTCATATTCATGTATATATAAAACATATATCAAGAAATGTCATTTTCAACAAATTTTAGTATTTTGAACAATTAGTGTTTTTAACTTTGGATTAAAGAATACTGTTTTTTTTTACAATTATAAAATATTCTAAATGCACTAAAAAAGGATTATGTTTGTAAAGAATTTAGTACATGTTGCTAAAACTAATTTGTCTAAAAACTTGAGTTGATAAAACTGTAAAAACATGGTCCTGAGTGCAAAAGCCACGTGGTGAGATTCTGTTCCTCCTATGAACTAATAAAAGCAATTTAATGAAGAATGGTCTATTTTTAAAGGTGGCAAAAAGAAAAACAAAGAGGGTGATTAGACATTTAGCTGAAAGACAAGAAAATGAGGAATTTCTCCTCTATTTTTGAGTTGAGCTTAGAAGTGAAGGCAAGGTACATGGACATATTCTCATTATTATTATACTTTTCTTTTACCTCTCATTTGGACATTGGCCAACAATAGGTGTCCCGTGAACTCCCTCAGACCAATACAAGAGCATGTTTTGGGTGGTTTAAGGACCACCTCATCCTTTAGTTCACATGGCTTTGTATATATGTGGAAAATCCAATAGCGCGTCCCTCTAATTCTTCACCCCCTCTAAATTTATCAACATGCACAATCTGGATCATGTCTCTTTTTGTCTCCTCATCCACTCTTCCACTGTCTTCTAATCAATGCCCCCCTTTCAATAATCACAACTAACACTAGCATCAACTATCCTAAAAAACATAACACCATCAAATTCAAAAGCTTCATTCATTGCCCCAATCATTATTAGGAAATTAACCCATCGCCCATTAACACTTGCAACAATCATATTGATCGATCATTCGAGGAAATAATATTCATCATATTCATATTCATATTTATATAAGATATACCTTCTTCCAAATGTAGTAAAGTAAAGCCATAACTTAAACTTTTCTATCTCAAAAAAGAAAAAATTACAGTACTTAATTTTGAAATTAAAAACAAATCATTCTCGAGGCTGCTAAGGTTTCTTAGCAGAACAACAGGGTTTCTAATTTAACTTTAATTTCCTATAGAGCTCTTCTTCTCTTCTTATTCAGAAATTCTGATTTCTCAATCGGCAATGGTCCACACCATGTCGTTCTGGAAGATCCAATGGCAAACCTCGATCCTACCCGGACCCGACCCGAGTGAGAGAAAGGCTCCGTGGGTGGGGCTCCAATCCGAGGTGTCCAAATGACAAATGGCGACACCGTGGTTGATATGGGCCTTGGTTTTCGGGTCAAGAAGATCCGCTTGGTAGACCCGAACCTTAGGAACCGCGTGGCAGTAATATAACAGGTAAGGAAAGAGGCTCTGGTGGCAAGACACGGATTGGGTGACTCTACCACCGTTGATTGAACTAACGTGGCCCACCATCACATTTTTCTTGGACCCGTTAACGTTTTGGGTACTCCGAACGGCGACGTTGCGGCCCAAAACGGAGGTGGCGAAATCGATCATGTCCTCGAGCGAGCCCACGCACCGCTTGGTCTCGCCGCGACTGGGGGCCCGCTCGCACTCCTCCAGCGACTCACGCATGAGCCGCTCCATGGACCCGTTATCCGAGGCCCGGAAAACCCGTTTGAGCTCGTCGATTTTGGAAACGGAAAAGGGTAATTTGGACAAAATGGTCCGGGGCAAAAAGGACCTTTCGGGCATTTTATCTCTTATGTCGGGCATGGGCATCACCGTCCCTTCCTTCATCATCTTCTGGCGGAAGAACTTCCCCGGCTCCACCCACTTATTCACGAAACTGCCACTCACCGCTGAAACCGAGAGGCTCGAGCTCACATTGGTGTACTTGGCGAAGGAGATGGCTGCGCCTTCTTTAGAATATTCCTTGAACGTGTTGTTCACGCCGTACGAGGAGAAACCCACCTTCGTCTCGCCGTTCGAGGACTTCGCGTACGAGGAGAACGTGTCCGTCCCCTCGTTGAAGGACTTCCCGTAGTTTGAGAAACCCACGTCGGCGGCGTTGGAGGACTTCGCGTACGAGGAGAAGGAGTCGGCGCCCACGTTGGCCTTGTCGCGGTAGTTCGAGAATCTCTCCGCGGCGCCGTTTCCGCCGCCGGCGTAGTTGGAGAATGTGTTGGTGGGGTTGTTCATGTCCACGCCGTAGTTTTTGAAAGTGTCGTTGGCGGCGTTCGAGGTTTCGGCGTAGTTGGAGAATCCGGACCCGACAACGTTGGACTCTGTCCCGTACGAGGAGAACAGGTTTTTGGGGCCGTTGCCGTTTTTGCCGTACGAGGTGAAGGACTGGTCGCCGCCATTGCCGTTTTCGGAGTACGAGGAGAAGGACTGGGTTCTCCCGTTGGCGGCGTCGGAGTAGGAGGTGAACCGGAGGTCCGGGACGTTGGTGTCGTCGGTGTACTTCTTGAACTCGCCGCCGCCGCCGGTGGCTCCGGTGGCGTAAGTGTGGAAGCTCTGCTCCACCACGTTCCCGTTGGAGCCGTAGCTGAGGAAATTGTCTTTATGCCCCGCGGAGTTCCGGCTGTAGCGCCGGAAATCGTTCACCGGAATATTCTCTCCCTCGGAGTAGTTTTTGAACGAGTCGACCCCACCGGGTCGACCCGTTCCGTAGTTCGTGAAGTTCTTGTCTCTGTAGACGGCAAAGTTCGCGTCTTTATCGTGCTTCTCGAGGCTGGACCCCACCTCCGGGAAGCAGAGGAGCTTCGCGGCGGCGCAGAATTCCGGGAGCTTGGTCGACAGCGCGTTGCCGGCGGCGAGTTTGACGAACGCCGCGGCGTCCGCCGCGCTGAGCGGCGACGCCTTGGACACGAGGAACGTGGGCTTGGGGAGCCCGCTGCGGATCTCTTTGTCCCAATACCGAATCGCGAAGGCTTTGGGGGTGAACGGGTTTTTCTCCGCCGCGCCGGCGCCGGCGTGCCCCACCTGCATTGAACGAACACCCTTTTCAGAGGCGGCAATGGGAGGAATAAAACAATTGGAAAAATCGAGACTTGCAACAGTGACAGTGAGGAAAAGCTGTGCTTACACTGAGAGATGAGGAGAAGAGGATAAAGAGACAGAGGAGCGTGAGTTGTTCGGTCATGTTATTCTCACTCCTTTTCTTACACTTTTTTCCTTTTTCTTTTTTTTTCTTTATGTTGGGAGAGTGAGAAATCTGAGAAGGTGTAAGAGCTTTGAAAATGTTTGTGGACTAGTTGAGTTGTAAGCAGAAATTTATATCCTGTGGAGGGAGAGAAGTGTGTGTGTGTGAGTGTAAGAATGTGACTTCAGATTGGGCCTTCAATGTTCCATCCTCCTGTGTGTGAATGCTGAGTGAGAGCTTCCTGCATTGCACATTGACAGAAAATTACTACATATAATACTATTAATTCGCTGTTAACATTAAATTAATGATTAATTAATGTGCCTACAATGCATGAACTGGGAACGGATACAAATGGTGTAAAACAAAATTAAGTGAACTAACTAGTCAGAGTGTAATGTGGATGCTGCAAAGTAACAGAAACAAGTGCAATAAGTCAATAGAGTGAGATGGTGAAAAAAATAAATTGAGTGGGCATTGAATTTTTGAGTATGGAGAATGTTGGATTGGATGCACCTTGATCTGGTGGAGAGTTTGTATGCATGAACTTTACACATAGGGATAGGAGCGTATTTATAGCCCTTGGAAAACCCAAATAACGCGCATTCTTGTTATAACTAATGCTGTGAACGCGGTAAAGATATTAGGAATGTGACTGCACCATCTTTTTTTAGCCATCACTGAATATTTTCCCACCTTTGAGAAAAGATATTACAGTATTAGAAATAAAGGTGGATGGTGTTGACACATCACCACATACGTAGATTGTCAACTTTGAGCCGCCAACAGAAAGCTCCATGGCCTGTGATGCAAATGAAAGTAGTATAATAAACTCTTAATTGAGAAGCAATTTCCACTTGGACAGTGTAATATAAGTATACTTACACCCACCCAAATTAAGCTATATTGCACTCCTAATGGTAAGATTGCCGTTCATAAACACTCATAATGAGTATGGCAATGAATAAAAATGGAATATATCCTCTTGTTGAAAAATAAATATATAAAAAAACTGAAAAAGTATCATTTTTCAGATTTTCTTAATGCGAAAGTGTACACTACTAAAATATCGATCGATCTAGACTCAGTTTTGATTAACTTCTAGTAGATGATTTTTTTTATTAATTATAAAAGTACACTTAAAAGTCTTTTTTTAAAGGAAATAAGTTATTTTATTAAATTTATCTAATTATGGAAAGACTTGCCACATATTTGTTCCAATAATTCACTTTAACTATAAATTTGATATCTATATGTCAAAAGTTTAGGCGCGTTTACTGTGGTCGTGTGGTTTTTGTAGCTTTTTTTTTTAAGTGTTTTTTTTTTTTTTTTTACAAAGTACCTATTAAACCTGTCAATGAATAATCGTTACAGGAAAAAATTTGACTGATTAGTTACTTTTAATAAATTTTACCCTCAACCATATTTTTTCTCTACATAAAATTCGAACTCAAGATTTTACATAAAGAATCCAATATAACTTGAACAAGCAATTTGTTTGTAGTTTTTAAATGCAAGTTTTAAAATAAAACATATTTAATTAAATTGAAGTTGAAATAATTTTTAACTCAATTCTAAAACACTTATATTTATTCTTAAAAAAAGGTGTATTAATTTAGAACCCATTTGAAGTGATTTATTTTTTTAAGTTTAAAATTTCTTAAAAATCACAATAAAAAAATTAGTTTAGCTTTCTTTGTATTTTTTAGTTTTAAAAGTAAACTCAAATTGAAATTTTTTAATCATGTTAAATTATTTTAAGGGGGTGTTCATGTGACAATGACGATGCTAGTGATAGCAGTGTCCATGATGGTGACAATGACAATGATCATGATGATATCAGTACCGGTGATAGTGTTTATAACACCCTATTTTTCATAAAATATAATATAAGTATTTTATAAATAATTTAGATATTTTATTTTATTAATAGGAACTGTTAAATATTTGTTTTAATTATGTAATATATTTTAGAATATATTATATGGTATTTTATTAAAGAATAATATGATATATTATTAAAAAGGGAAGGGATCTTCAGGATAAGCGTGGTTAATATGTTCTAACTAGAGGGTTAAAGAGAAATTAGTTTTTTTAATAAAAAAATGAGGATTTTTTTTATCAAATCTTTTTTACGTCTCTATTTTCACGTACACGCTTCAAAGCTTTAAGAATAGAATCAAGAAGGAAATCACTCCATAACCATACACTTGTCATGTAGAACTTGTCTAGGTAAAAGGGAGAGAGAAATTTTGCTCTGAGTGTAGGTTTGATGTTGGCTAGTGGGGCCACAATCCTATGTTTGTTGCATGTTTATGTATTGAAGCGTTTTCTCCAATTGTATCTATTTCACTTTTTGTTCTCCTTGTATGTTTTAATTGATTTAAGTTGTATATACGTATGTGTTAATAATTTTTTAAATTGGTTTGTAAATTGTATGTTTTGATGTTCATGAAGGGATTGTATGAAGAGATTGTCTGAGTATGTAATTGTACGCATAAATTATGTTGTTTAGAATGTTTATTATATGGTTTGGATAGCTTCGATTAATTGAATTGTGTATTTTTGGTGAATTGATAGTTTATTATATGGTTTGAATTTTTCGTCGGGTGCCACTTGGGGCGCATCAGGTGTTGTTGAGGCAGAGAGCAAAGTTTGCTCTCGAGTTATCTCACATCAAGCATGGGATGACCCTCACTAGGCGCGAAAGCTCCATGAGGTTCCTTGTGACACTTTTGCTCGGCGTGAGCTAACTCTCATCAAGTGTGGACACTTCAGAGAGCTTTCGATGGTGTTCTCATCGGATGTGGACTCGATCATATCAAACGCGATTTAGACAGAGACCAACGTGATAGAGGACCATCCTTGGTACTTCATGTGAGACCCATCACATGGTTCATGGCTAGGAGAATGGAGAGATACCATGTATGGATCCGTCTCCTAGGCCCAATTTGAGTAGTATAGAATTTTATTGCTTTATTCCAATTTTACCCTTGTATTTTGGGATATCTTAATCATAGGATTTATTTTCTTTTGTATTTCTCGTTTTACCCTTGTATTATGGGGTGCTCTAGATGATTAGGGTTTTAATTTTGGGCTAGGGTTTTAAATTAGGAGGTGACGTAATTTTTGGTGCTCTTGGACCTATTTTTGGTGTTAGAAAGACTTAGACCCAAGTGGAGGGCAAAGGTTGCATGGTCTTGTCATGCACCTAGATATAGCCAATCTAAACCCAAAGATTCTATCTTTGGCCACCAAGTTGCATCTAGGGTTAATTTGCATTTCATTTAGAGTGCATTTGCCTTGTGAATTTCAGTCATGCATACTCCAAATGCAACCCTAGATGCCTCCCCTCCTATAAATACCCAATGCACCACACCTTGTAAATACTTTGGATTATATGAATTTGAGAGAGCATTTCCTTGCCTCAAATCCTATCCTTAGTCCCTAGGTTAACTTCGGCTAACCACCTTCATTCTCCTCCCTTGGAGAGTGAAACCCTAGAGTGGCCTCCACCTTCACTTGGAGTGAGCCAACCTTTGAGCACCATACACTTCCGCCAACCCTCACCATCTCACCTCTATTTTCACATCCAAAACTACCCCACCTTAAACACCCTCAATCTTTTCCCTTTGGTGAACCTAGATCATGGGCAAGGTGACTCTCTTCATCACATCATTATCAACCATGGAAGGGAGGTCTCCATCACAACGTGGTTCTTTAGAGGACCTACGCTAGGTGTGATGCGTGCGCCACTAGGTGTTGTCCTACATGTAGATCTTTTGTTGTTTTTTTGTTAAATTCCTTATTATAGTTACTATATTGTGATGTTAATGTGAATATGGAATGATATATATATATATATATATATATATATATATATATATATATATATTTATTTATATATATATGAGTACCTGAATATGAATGATGAGTAATATGGTATGAGGAATGTATGAGCTACGAAGTTATGGAATCGGCTATCTATATAAGGATTATTTTTTAAAGGGTACGATATGAAATACACTGTCAGGAAAGGTCCTTTATGTAAAAGCTTGAGAATCAACCTTGGGGATAACTCAATTTAAAAGTCTCAATCCTACTCTCGTGAGCATGGGATGTATCTTGCGCAACTTAGATATCTTAATCAGATCCTAGTAATAAGTCCTTCTAGTGAGAGTGCACAGAGGGTGTGACCCAACATGTACTCCTAGACTACTCTAGTGTATTGCTAGCGACATTACACAAGTTTGATGTTTTTACTAGTCTCACATGAATAACAACATGTAGTCTGTGTCCATTACATACACATTATAATTATATTTGTTATGGATGAGCTAAGTATGATGATGATGTGTAACTATGTATGCTATATCATGTTGTATGTGTTATTTGTGTTTAGCAAGCCGATTTTCATTTCTGTATCGTGAGCCAAAGTGAAATGTTTCTTACCCCTTTTTCTTTTGTGTTATCTTCTTGTGGTTTTTGCAGGTAATCCTCAACATGGTGTTAAGGGTGTTAGTGATAAGGCTTAATCCTCAACATTGGGTTTTGCCCTAATAGAACACGTGACATTGGGAAATTAGTTAGGACTTGATTCTTTCTATTTACTTTAAGTAGATTATTTTTTAAAATTTCCATTGTAATTGTTATTTTCACTGAGTTTAGTTTATGTTAAAATGTGATTCTTGCTACTTTTATAGGATTTAAGTTCTTTTATTTATACGATATAATTTAGTTTTATATTATAATATGTGACATGACATGCATGATAGAGGGTGTCACAATGATATTAGTGCAAAGTGGTGGTATTTACATTACCAATGATAATGTTAACAACGACAATAATAATGACAATGGTGCTACCAATGGTGGTTTTGATGTAAATGATGATAGTGACAATATCAATGGTGGAGACAATGTCAACGTTGCTTGTAATGTTAGTAGTGGTAATGTAAGTGTGGTCATAATGTTAATGCTAGTAGTGGTGGTGGTAGTGGATGCAGTCAAACACACCAAAATGAGAGGAAATCAGAGGTTATACAAGTGTGAGACTATAAAATGAGAGTGGGGACAAAGCACATTGAAGAGTCTTGTATTGGTTTGTGAAAATAATCATTAATCCTGAAAAGAGGACAAACATCTCAAAAGTGTTATTTGCGGAAGGTTTTAACTGGTGAAAGATTTTTACCAATAAGGAGTTAAGTGAAGTGTTACGAGAGTAAGTTCTCTCTCTCTCAATACAATATGATTCAAGAATGAACCAAAAAAAAGTTGATGGGTTTGAAACATCCTAGATACACCAGAATGAAAAAGATTTAGAGTCTGTAACATTATACAATTAAGGATGTGTTAAACATTTGGCAAGTGTACCAAATCGTGTGTAGTATTTTCAAAATAAAATTGTACCCCAAGAGAACTTATGCAATATATGGCAAATGTAACTTAGTACATATACTATAACTCAAAAGAATGAAATAATGATTTGTTTGAAGTTGGATTGTTGAATGAATGGACTCTAAGGTAACAATGTAAATAATAAAAATGACT